GGTCATCCAAATGCTCTCTAGCAAACTTCAGATGGGCCTGGACATGTACTGGCTTAAGCAGGGGGACACGTCTGTCACTGCAGGATTTGAGTCCCTGGCGGTGCAGTGTGTTACTGATGGTAGCCTTTGTTACTTTGGTCCCAGCTCTCTGCAGGTCATTCACTAGGTCCCCCCGTGTGGTTGTGGGATTTTTGCTCACAGTTCTTGTGATCATTTTGACCCCACGGGGTGAGATCTTGCGTGGAGCCCCAGATCGAGGGAGATTATCAGTGGTCTTGTATGTCTTCCATTTTCTAATAATTGCTCCCACATTTGATTTCTTCACACCAAGCTGCTTACCTATTGCAGATTCAGTCTTCCCAGCCTGGTGCAGGTCTACAATTTTGTTTCTGGTGTCCTTTGACAGCTCTTTGGTCTTGGCCATGGTGGAGTTTGGAGTGTGACTGTTTGAGGTTGTGGACAGGTGTCTTTTATACTGATAACAAGTTCAAACAGATGCCATTAATACAGGTAACGAGTGGAGGACAGAGGAGCCTCTTAAAGAAGAAGTTACAGGTCTGTGAGAGCCAGAAATCTTGCTTGTTTGTAGGTGACCAAATACTTATTTTACCGAGGAATTTACCAATTAATTCTTTAAAAATCCTACAATGTGATTTTCTAGATTTTTTTTCTCATTTTGTCTCTCATAGTTGAGGTATACCTATGATGAAAATTACAGGCCTCTCTCATCTTTTTAAGTGGGAGAACTTGCACAATTGGTGGCTGACTAAATACTTTTTTGCCCCACTGTATATATATATATAAAACTGATCAGTATCGGTTGAGATATATAAAAATTATAATTATATATAAACACACCCACCAATATTAATATTGGTCGATTAAAGTAATCAATATAGTAGTGTTAACCCTACAGTAACAAAAATAAAACTGTGATTACGCATATTTTCTTGTGTTTACCAAGTGTGCTAAAGTTGAAGCGTGTGCCGGAGGGTGAGCTGAGTGCAGAGGCAGGTGTGTAGGGGGAAGAGCCAATTGAATCCGGGAGCCCAACAGCTGCGAGTGAACGTAGCCAATCACGGGCCTCTTCATGACCTTTGACCTGAGGCACATGGCCATACCTGCAGGTTTAAAACAAGTGTATATGAGTCTGTGAAATGCAGTGTTGTTTTTCTCTTTTGCATGAAAGTTCTCATGAAAACAGCTCCAAGATAAATATCACAATGCCAGGATAAGCACAGCTATCAAATCTATGGTGGGTAACAGAAAACCCAAGTCCACTGCTCCAAGCTCCAATGATTATTTGCATACTACAATATTTAACCAGGTCAGCAGGTATAAATAATTACCATATTGTGTACTAAACAAATCAAAACCCAGTAAACACAAACTGCACTCACATATTATAAGTATATTGGTATACTATTGACATAATCAGGGCTCTAGACTAAAAAAAAATAACTAGGGAGCCACTGTCTCAAAAAAACATTTAGGAGTTAAATTACTGTTTTGGCTGACAAATTACATTTAGATTTATAGAATTAAAATATGACATATCATTTCACAAAATCTCTGTTGTGAACATGTATTATTAATTCCAAGTAACTGTTCTCTGTTTATTTTAAATCGGACATAAATGAAAAATGATTTGTGGCTCAGTGAGGGAGTCAGTTGTGCACTCAGAAACGACTCACTGGCAGAAATGAGTTTTGTGAATTGTTTTGACTAAATCACTAAAAAGAACCAGTTCAAAAGAGTAATTTCAAGGAATCGAGGTTTACTGTCATTCCAAAAACACAAAGAACATGAAAGGAACAAAACTAGTTTTCCTGTCTAGTTTTTTCCCCCTTCAAATTACTGTTACAAATTTGTATTTTTTGTAGTCACAGTCAGGAGCTCTGATCACAAAGCACACAAGCAAGACAAAAACACAAAACAAAACAGACCATTTGACCACAAAGATAGCTTTACCTGTCCTCTTTCCGTGGGAGTGTGTTGCGGGTACATTTAGGGCTAGCAGAGGGGGAGGAGTGAGAGCTAGAGAAGGGTATGGGGCAGACAAAACAAAAAGAGGCAGATAAAAGTGACAGAAAAGGGAGAGGAGATAAAGAAATGATTAAAGAGGAGTAGGTGGAAAGGAAGATAGATCATCACAAGAGATATAAACCCGACTTTCAAGTCACAAACGGCTGGAAGAATCATTTGTGTTGACATGAAGTTAGCATGGTTGAACAATCAGTTTCTCACCTGTCTGAGAGGCCAGTTCGGGCACTGTTGGTCCGATTAAGACATAAAGGTTCCCTTCCCAAGGAAACATCTATGGAGTCAATACTGGTGTGGTTGGAGCCCAATCCATCCCTGCCTCCCCAAGGAGAGAAAGCTGATCCTGGGCTGGAGGCCATTGAAGAAATGGTCTGCTCTCCATGACCCCCAGAGGGCAACGTCAGCTTGTCACCGTAAACTGGGTCACTGCCTCCACTGGCGACAGATGGAGTGTTTAGAGAACCATTCTGCTGGATGGACGTGGCATGAGGATTGGAGATGACGGTGGAGTTCTTCATGTTCTCCATGGTGACCGGAGCTTGCTTGATGCAAGATTTGCTACCAAACAGTCTGAATGCAAAGGGGGAAATAAATTTAACAAATAATATTAATAAAATGGGGGTAAAATGTCTGCAAATGCAACAAAAAGTCAACATCTGTGACAATAACTGAAAATCTAGGTTTCATCAGAGTAGACTGCATGCCAGTGTCACACTACTCTTTTAAATGACGCTGTATATTCCAATTCTCAAACAAATTACTCTGATGAACCGGTTCTTTTTGACGAGTCATTCAGTCAGAGAATTTTTCATAGCACAAGCCCGCAATTACCGATTTACCAACAAATGACTCTTATGAACCGGTTCTTTTTAAAAAGATTCATGAAACTGTCTCAAACTCGCTTGCAAGTTATTCAATTTCTCAAAAAGAGTCACAAAGTTGCTTGTGAGTTAGCAGTTTGACAGCCATTACTAAGATCACAATTAATGCCCTCACTGAATCATGACTCAGTTTTTGGTTGTGTTCATTTCAAAATGAACTAGGAATTATTAAATGTAATGTATATTTTTGGTTTGTGAAAAATCTGTCTATTTGTAGACTGGTTGTTCTTCTGAAAATGTGTAATTACAGATACATTTATGAAACATTGAAGTATTCTACAAAATGGTTATGCTACTGATTAGCAAAGTAAGTAAATTGAACTGACAGGAATAATTTTTTGTTGTTCTTTTGTTGATTATTGACAGCAAGATGCAAATCAACAATGTCAGTCTTCACCAGGGGTGTCGAAACGGGCTCCTGGAGGGCCACTATTTTAGCTCCAGTCCTAATGAAACAACCCTGAACCATCCTTCAGGTCTTCGGGCTCACTAAAAACTACCAAGCAAGGGAGTTGAGGCAGGTTGAAGCTAAACTCTGCAGGCCACTGGCCATCCAGGATGGACACCCCTGTTCTTCACAAAGAAAAATATGATACAAGGAAAGTCTGGCACCTCTGATTTTTCTCATTACTTCATGGACTGCCTGGTCAGATAACATCAGTCGATCTGTAGTCTGGTTCTACTAACTAGGAGAGCAATCAGTCAGAGCTAATCAGCTAGAACAAACACTAGCCTCTTGGTCTGTGCCATGTCTTAGAGAAACACCAAGAAGCCCAAGGAAAATGCACTTGTGGTGGCCAGAAGCAAGCCTCTGAATCTAAACCAACATCAAATCGCTCAGATAAACAGTAAGTCCTATGAACGTCGTCCAGCACCCAAGGAGGAACTCACACAACCCAGCTGAGAACTGCTGTGTAAATATTTGAGAGACCTAAAATGGTGCTTTCATCCACATCAAGTAGAAATCATGCCTTGCCAAATTCATTTTTCATCAACAGTCTTTCAAGTCTACATAAGCTAAACTTTGCGAATGGCGAGAACTTACCTACGAAGGGTTGGCGAGGACATTTCTGAATACTTTCCTCCTGCTTGTCGTCCAGCTTGGCACTGAGTTGGTATCCCCATCTGTGCAGTTGCGCTAGTCTTAAGTACCTGGCTCTCCACATCGGAAAAGATACCCTTCTCTCGGTCTGTCTGGTTAGTAGTTCCCATTGGGGACTTGACTAAGTTGCGACTCTTAGGATTGGGAAGTGTGGCAGTACCTTTATTGCAAAAACTAGCATCAAGACTCGAGTTGTTGGAGCGGTTAGAATAGCGAGCGGCGCCGGTACGACTAGGCCTCGGTAAACTGCGGTACTGAAGAGTCATCCGAGCACTTGGAGGAAGGTATCCATCATCAACCGTCGTCTGCCGACCCACCATTCGACTCCCAGAAAACCCAACCGATTTAGGTATCCTGCCTACTGTAGCAGAGCCACTAGTTACCACAGCTCCACTCGCCGTTATTATCGCACCCGGGGCCTTCTTGAAGCCAAAAGTGCTGGTTGGGGTGCGTGAGGCCGAACTGAGGGGAGGTTTCTTGGAGTCATCAGCATTTATGGAGTGGGTGCCGTTGGAACATCCTTTCTCCGACACTTTGGCATCATCGGTCTTACCTGTGGGATGATCAACGACATGGACTGTCAAGTGCAAAATTAAATCATGTTTTTGAACAGTTTTGAATATAGTAGCATGGTCCCTGTCGGGACTCGTCTGAACATAAGTCTCAGAAAAGGTACGCAGCACACCGCACATAAGACAATGTAGGTGTTATAGTGCAATGTGATGAGATATGTGATCAGATAATACATCTCTGTGGCTGTCATGCCTCAGGAAACCACATGAAAACAGAGACGCGGCTCAGTCAGTGTTGTTACTCTTAACTAAAATTATTTAAAATTGTTTTTGTTAATTAAAATAAAGCTGAAATAAAATAAAATAAAAATATTAGACGATAAGAACTTAATGTAAACAAATTAGAAATGTTGAAATAAAAAAATTAAGTTGAAGTACTTAAAATAAAGCTTAGTAAAAACAAAAACAAAATGACTAAGAACGTAACAAAATGACTAAAACTTCAACTAAAATTAAAATGAAAATAGAAAAAATAACAAAAAAGGTAAATTAAAACATAAATAGCATAAAAGTATTAATAAAGTAAATAATTCTAAAATAATACTGGACTTAATTTGACATTTTATTTAACTTATTTCCTTGCACAGAGCAGATAAACAGCATTTTCCAGTATTTCTAAATGAAGCATTATTAATATCCCAGTCATTTCATACTTGTATGACTTACTTTCTTTCTCTGGAACACAAACATGTTTTTTTGGACCCCACTGACTTTCATTTTATGATAAAAACATTAATCAAAATACATTGTTTTGTGTTCCAAAAAAAGGTTTGGAAATGCTAATTGGGACAGCCATGAAACAGGACCATCTAAACCATTACCATGTGTCTTGAGTGAGCTGCAGTTCGTAGGTGTTGTAGCTTTCGTCCGTGGGGAGGTGACGCCCACCTGGGCGGTCATTCCCCGCCTCCAGGAGCCCGTCTGTGAGATGGTAGGTGTCTTGCGACCCATCAAGCTCCGTTCTGATTCATCTGAGGACCTGTGGTTCCATTTAGTTGTGGTCTCCATTTTTTTGGCACCGTCAGAGCCGCCTTCTGAACGTTTAAGCTCGCTGTTGGACCAGTTGGGGTTGTGTTTCACTGCAGAGTGCTTCTCTGCATCCGTCTGGAGCTGCAAGAGAGAAAACCAAATCATTAATTGCAAATAAATATTTCAGTCTTTGAACCACAGAGAATATAAATCTGCTTTCTATGTTCTCTGCTAATCTGTACTAAATCTGGGGGTATCCCAGGGGGCCACAAGGGGTATTGTGTGATTTTTTTTAGGGCTGTCAAAGTTCATTTGTACTTAACATATTAATGAAAGATGTTTGACAAAGTGATTTTTTGAATAATATTACATAAAATTGATATTTAACAAGGGGGGTGCAAGAAGGTCTGTAAAAATAGTTTTTTAGGGCAGTCAATATTAATGTGCTCTTAAGATATTAAAGAAATTTTAACTTGAAATTTTATATTGTTTTTTGTGCTTTAATACGATATCAACATAAAAGCCAATTTAATTTTACAAACATTTAATTTTCATTAATTACAAATGATGATATTTTGTCATACATATAGTATAAAATATTGTTATATAAATAAAATAAAAATCTTATATATATATATATATATGCATACATACATACACACATCTTTGCATGAAAAATGTAAATGACTCTGGACTGACATGCACAAATATATTATATAATGCCTGTAATGACAGATACAATATCACCACCGACAGCTAATTTGCATCTTATTTATTCAGAAACACCATCAACAGCCATCATAAAATCTGATTATGTGACAAAAGAGCCAACTCGTCCATTACATGACCTTCCACAAATGTATCCAAGATGACATCAACCCCTTTTAGAAAGTCCGTTGTTCAGCTGCTACTGAAAATCCTCATAAAAATTATTGCCAAGGAAAGAATGTTAATAGCCTCCAGTTGTTATCAGGCCAATTCCAAAACATTGTTATCTCAACGCCGATACAATAAATCCTTCCTCCACTCCAGCCCCAAGAATGAGGAGAGACTACATAGGGAAAAGTACAAGGGTGTGGAAGTGAAAGGTGGCAGATATTTGGCTTCGGTTCAGATGCAATTTTGGGTCATGACTTTAAACTCTCTGAATTTGAAATCATGTGTACAGCAGGGTTATTAGAGTTAACTAAAACTAGAACCATTGAAAAACATCTTACTTGAAATAAAATAAACGTTAACTGAAAAAAAAAAAAAAAAATGAAAAGAAAACTGAAATATATCTTATTTCAGCTAGAAGCCAAAGCAACATTTTTGATTTTTTTTTTTTTTTACAAAAATAACAATAATAATAAAAATTATTATAACTTCAACTAAAATTACAATGAAAAAAAATCTAAATATAGAAAAAGCTATAATTGTATCTCAGTGGTTCTAAAATAACACTGCGCACTCGAAACCACATCTGGGACTTTTTTGCAGCATCAAGATCAAAAACAAATGGAGACAAAAATAAGTGTTTTCATCTGCGGAGATAAATATGGAAGACTGGAGATAAATAAGGTCATGGATTTAACTTTTAAAAACCAACACCAATGCACAAACCAATAAGCTACAAGTGTGGACAAACTTATCGGCACACAACCCAGTGTGCCACATCTGGATTTAAAGCATTCATCTTGTTAGAACAGGCGAGACAGACGCCGTATCTTTGCTTCACTGTACTGATCCATTTGCTTAGCATATGTTAACCTGCTTTGAGCTTGTAAAGATGATCAATCACCGGGGCAGAGTTGAGTCAGTCCGCTGACTCACACTCACAAAGACTGCACACAGCGGGCACAGGCCAGTTCTGATAAGAATATTTCATTGAATTAAAGGGACAATGACGCAACAGAACCGCTCCCAAAGCAGCGCTGTAAACGTGCAGGCCTGTTTTGATTGCATATAATGATCACCAGAGATTGTGAATCATTTATATCTCATTTTTTAATGAATAAATACAGATTTCAACATTTCATTTTATTTAAAGGTCATTTTCAAACTTTTTACAGCCTTTATGATTTATATTGACTACTAAAGTGATTGTATAATAAAATAATATCAAATAGATTTCTATTGTTTTACCATTGTCCCAGGCTCAGACTTTCAATCTTAATACATGAAAATCCATCATAAAAATATGAATTATTACCAGTTTAAAACACTGACACTGATAATCAAATAAAAGAATCAAACAATTAAAAAAAAATGTGAAAATATTTTCTATAAATTAAAAACAAACTAACTAAAATTTATGTTAAAATATATTTTTTTGAAGTTGTTTGTCGTGTGAATTTCTGCAGATGTTTCTTATTCTGTAGACCACGAGGCTATGGCATCAATGACTGACCTGTTCATCTATGTCTCTGTGTGGGACAGATGGGGTGTTGACGTAGGAGCTAAGGGACGACCTGGTGTCGAGGTCATCGGTGTCCAAGGTGTCACTGATCCCGCTGCTGACTGAGCTGCTGTCGTCCCAACTGAGAACAAAGAGAAAAGAGAGAGGAACAGTAATTTATCTACATTTCTGAGGGACATGATATCAATATAGTGAAAGGAGTACTGTGAGAAATAAAACAGAATTCATGGATGCAGAATGTTCAACGTAATATGGAAAAAGGCATATTTAAAGAGTAGCAATGGAAAGAAAGGTAAGCAAAAAACAGCATCTGTGGAGAGTCATGAAGTCTGCACAGGGACAGTCTGAGCATAAAAACCTGCATTCCCATCATGCTTGAAACATTAGGCGCGTCTCTCTGCTCCTCAAAACTTGTTTTAATTAGCTCTGTGCCTCAAATTCTCAATGCGCTCTGCTTTGCTTTCCCCCATTTCCCACAGTGTTGCTGACTGAAGAAATCCATTAGGATGCTCAGCAGGGCTCAACCAAAATCATATGGGCCAGAGACACTACTGGTTAAAGAGAAAAGCCAGTGAGACGAGTTGTGTGATCACAGTGGATTGTACATTTCATTGTCTAAACATAAAATCTGACAGTAATAAAATAAATTTGCCATTTCAACTAAAATCAGTATTTTTTCTTTTTTTAGTTTTACAAAATCAGACAATAACATAATCAAAAGTTTTGCTATTTTAGCTCAAATATGGCTAAAAATCTTATTTACTTGTTATTTTTTTTTTTTTTTTACAAAATCTGACAATAACAGAACCAGTTTTACTTCTTTATATCAAATCAGGCTTAAAATGGCTTATTTCATTTTAGTCCATGTAAAATATATAGTTTTTGTTTGTTTGTTTAATTATTTGCTTTTGCTCAAATCAGCCAAAAACAGTTTTTATTTTTATTTATATGCTTTTTTTGCTTGTTTATTTATCAATAACAGAATCAACAATTTGCTACTTTTGCTCAAATCAACTTAACTGTTTTAATTAACATTTTATTTATTTTTTTATTATTACCTTAAATCATTGTGTGTGTATATATATATATCAATATCTGCGCTACTTTTGCTGAAATGAGGCTAAAACATATTTTTTTATCCAGGTTGGTAAAGATAAAATCAAACAATCAAAGGCCTTAAAAAGATCTGAAAGACCGAGCAAATGACATTTGCTGATCCAAACACAGACTGGCCAAACTCCCACAAGCCACCAGTTTAGGACACTACAGCCTCAAGCGAAGCTAAGAGAGCTAGCTTAAGCACTGTGTGGCAACAAAACGCCTTATCAACACCTAAGATACCACCTAATCCTCCTCATTTCTCAGGATCATTCAGGCACACAAACCAGCCCATAAGCTCATTCACAGGCAGTCATGAAACAAGAGAAGCGTGTTCAAACATCCACCATAGTCCTGATGTCCTTTGACACAGCTCAACAGATACTTGTTTTGATATGAACAAAGTCCCCATAGCTCACGTCTGTCATAACCGACTTGACATAACTGGCGTGGAAGGACGTCTGTGGTTCCTGTTTTAATGAACTATGAGAAAGTTGGTCCCATTGGGGCTATTTGTCACTAAGAGCTCTCACGCACACTGTGCTAATGTGTTTGTCTGCTTGCACGTCTCTGCTTAAATGATCTGCTTCATTCATCATTTGCCATACGCTGTCAGACACTACAGATGACAAATGCAAACAAATGCCAAAAAGGCCCCCCAAAATGAAATGGAAGGAAAACTGACATGAATGAGTCACTTCTTCCTTTTTAAAGACACCATGAAATCCATTTAAATGCATTTAGTCTATCTGAAGCTATCAACATACTAGTGTGCTGCTAAAAGCTGACAAAAAGATTTCTAAAAATTCTGTAATCTAAGGAAATGCACTAAAAATATTACATTTAGTCATTTAGCAGACGCTTTTATCCAAAGCGACTTACAAACGAGGAAAATAAAAGCAGTCAAAACTAACAAAAGAGCAACAATATATAATTAACAATATATATAAGTGCAAATGCTCTGATTGATTTGGGCAGGTCATTCCACCAGGAGGGAACAGTTAATGAAAAAGTCAGTGAAAATGATTTTGTACCTCTTTGAGATGGCACAATAATACGCTGTTCACACAGAATGCAAGCTTCTAGAGGGCACATAAGTCTGAAGTAATGGATTTAGGTAAATGGGTAAATATTTTAAATATAAAAATTTATTTATTACATGAATATATATATAT